AATCTGACCTGCTGGGCTCCAGCAATCCTTCTGCCTCAGCCTTCCAAGTAGCTGGAACAACAGGTGCGTGCTACCATGCCTGGCTAATTTTTGATTTATTGTAGAGATGAGGTCTCGCCAAGTTGCCCAGGTGGGTCTCGAACCCGCAGGCTCAGGCAATCCACTCACCTCGGCCTCCCAAAGTGCTGGGATTAGAGGCTGAGCCACCAAGAGTGGCCTCTTTTTTTTTTTTTTAAGTCAAAGTCTCACTCTGTCATCCAGGCTGGAGTGCAGTGGCACACTCATGGCCACTGCAGCCTCGACCTGTTGGGTTCAAGTAATCCTTCCACTTTAGCTTTCCAAGTAGCTGGAACTACAGGTATGTGCCACCATATTCGGCTAATTTTTTCTTTTTAATTTAGAATAGAGATGAGGTCTTGCCATGTTGCCCAGGCTGGTCTTGAACCCATGGGCTCAAGCAATCCTCTCACCTCCGCCTCCCAAAGCGCTGGGATTATAGGCATGAGCCACCGTACCTGGCTAAAAAAATAAAATTTCAAAGGATCATATCAGTGAGGTTGAACCATTTCCCACAGCAAAGCAGTTAGCAAATAAATATATTATTACCTAATGTTAATTACTTGTAGTAAAAAAATACTGAAAACACTTCCACATCAGGGTAACTATTATAAGTAGTTCCACTCTATGGTATATTAAAAAGGTAAAGAGAGCAAAATGACTTAAAATCCTAATAGAACTTTTTTTTTTTTTAAGGAGACTAAGGCAAGGTGAGAGCTAATCAACTGAAAAAAGTATAGACAATCAACCACTTACTTAACACAGAAGGCTGCTTATCATGAGCTGTATTGTCTCGTACTGAAACAGGAAAAAAGGGATAAGATCATAGAATACTTGAGAACAAAAAAAGATGTTGCATACACATTTCTTGTTTTCTGTGGATACTAGAAACCAAAAGAAGAAAAAAAATCAAACTTTTCTCTCCTCAGTTACACACACACACACATACACACACTTTTCCCCTCCAATTCTAAACTTCATAACGTTCAAGTACTGGACAATTAGTATAATTACCATCAACATAATGACTAAATGTATTCACTGTTCACCAGTTATCGTGTATTTTCCCAACATCTGATCATGAACCTACTAAAAACTAAAATTAAAAAAATATAAAATGAAATTTTATGAACAAAATGATATACAACAGCTTTCCAAAGACTTTTTCTTTAAAAAAAAAAAAGTGATGGGGAAGGAAAAATAAGTTCTTGAAGATTTTATATTCAAATATATTTTCAACTGATTAATGACTCCAATTCTGGGAGACTTGATTTAAAAATGGAAAAAAAAAGATAGTAGTATAGAAAATAATAAGTTGGCTGGCTACAATGTCTTATGCCTGCTGTAATCCCAGCACTTTGGTATACCGAGGTGGGAGGTTCACTTGAGGCTAGGAGTTTCAGACCAGTCTGGGCAACATAGTGAAACCCTGTCTCTACAAAAAGTAAAAAAATTAGCTCAGTGTGGTAGAGCATGCCTGTAGTCCTAGGTACTTAGAAGGTTAAGGTATGAGGATTGCTTGAGCCCTGGAGTTAGAGGATATAGTGAACTATGATTATACTACTGCACTCCAGTCTGGGTGACAGAATGAGATCCTGTCTCGAAATAAGTAAGTAAAAGAAAAATGTGTCACCATTTATTCTGTATCCTGAGCCAATATTGTTAGCATTTTAGCATATTACTTTTCAATCTTTGTTATATCTGCTCAACATTTGATCATGAAAATTTTCTAAGTTGTAAGACTTTTATAATGAATATTCATATACCTACCACCTAGCTTACCATTAACTTAATACTGTATGTGCTTTATCACTTTTTTGTCCTTCCAAACTTTTACAGCAGAGTTGAAATCCTACTACATACAAAATTTTATACCCTTATTAGAATATGTAAGTAGGCTCAAACTACTACATTAATCAATTAAGCTAAAAATAACCAACCCATTTATACTGCAAGCAAGAACATTCAACAAATCACAGAGACCAGTAGTTTTTTGTTTGTTTGTTAAGTTCAAATTCAGGTTTAGGTATGAAGACTCAAGAAGCAAGTTCAAAAGGTAAAGGATATTGGATGAGTTTTCTAGCATTCATTACCTTTTTTTCAATATTTACATCAAATTTCAGAAGAAGATCTTAAATAACAGGCTGGGCACAGTGGCTCATTCTAGCACTTTGGGAGGCTGAGGCAAGAGGACTACCTGAGTCCAGGAGTTCAAGACCAGCCTGGGAAACATGGCGAGATTTTGTCTCTATAATAAATAAAAAATTAGCCAGGTGTGGTAGCCTGTGCCTCAGCTACCTGGAAGGCTGAGGTAGAAGGACTGCCTCAGTCCAGCAGTTAGAGGCTGCAGTGCCTGTGAGCAGGCCACTGCACTCCAGCCTGGGTGTCAGAGTGAGACTCCGACTTAAAAAAAAAAAAAAATAGCATATGACTACACCCACAGCTATATTTGTAAACATGGTTTTACTTACTTTGTGATGATTGCCAAAATGATTCTGCATATTGACTAGATGATCTGGTGGTTTGATCTAAAAAATAAAAAAGTATACTATAAATCATATTTAACTTTTAAAAGGGACATTTTAGCTGGAATCGGTAGCTCAGCCTGTAATCCTGCGCCTTTGGGAGGCTGAGGTGAGTGGACTGCCTGAGCCCGTGGGTGCGAGACCTGCCTGGGCAGCGAGACCTCATCTCTACAATAAATCAAAAAATCAGCCAGGCGTGGTAGCGCATGCCTGTAATTCCAGCTACTCGGAAGGCTGAGGCGGAAGGATTGCCGGAGCCCAGCAGGTCGAGGTTGTGGTGGCCGGGAGTGGCCACTGCACTCCAGTCTGGGCGACAGAGTGAGACTCCAACTCAAAAAAAAAAAAGGGACATTTTACAAAAGAACAATGAGTATTTAATCAAAAGAGCAAAAACATTCTGATAAACCCTAGGAAATTAAACACTTGAGTGCATAATTTATCTTAAATATAATTTCAAGAGTCATGTCATTTACCTAAAAATTGGCTAATTAATTATGTCTTTTCCCTAAAATTGTAAGATATAGAACATCGCATGAGGTAGACAATGAAACTTTTCAGTTGGGGAAAAATTTTGAAAGTTTACAATGATGGAGCTTAGCTTCCTGAAATCATTAATAACCATTTTGCCTTAAAATATTCTTACAAGTGGGCAATACATTATGTATTTTAGTATACTCTTCTTTTTTCGGAGACAGAGTCTCACTATATCACCAAGGCTGGCCTCCATCTCAAGGGATCCTCCTGCCTCAGCCTCTCAAGCAGCTAGGACTACAGATTCAAATCACCACATCCAGGGTTTAGCCTACTCCTCCCAAAAAATTTTTTCCATATAACAGAAGAATTCATAACAAATTAGTTTAAAAGTGAGCAGACTGCTATTTTGGAAACAGAATTTAACAAATAAAGGCGTAGTGGCTAAACATTTTTGACAGGATATACTCCTATCACTAAAAACAACTGAGCATTATCAGGCATGGTGACTCACACCTGTAATTCCAGCACTTTGGGAGGTGGAAGTGTGAGGACTGCCTGAGCCAAGGGGTTCGGAACCAGCCTGGGCAACATGGCAAGACCTCATCTCTATTTTAAAAAAAAAAAAAAAGAATCAGCCGGATGGTGGTACACGCCTGTAGTTCCAGCTACTTGGAAGGCTAAGGGGGGAGGATTGTCTGAGTTCAGAAGGTTGAGGCTACAGTAGGCATGAGCATGGGACTGCACTCCAGCCTGGGCCACAGAGTGAGACTTTGGGGAAAAAAAAAAAAAATCTGAGCATCAATCCCTGAAACATTTTTCTTTCTAATATTATATAATGTACTACTGAAATAATACATTAACTAATGCATTGCATATATTATAATAAATAAAAATAGACATTTTAAATGGATGAAATACAAAAAAAGTATGTGAAATTCTAATAATTCTTCCTGTGTTCCAATTAATCTTCTTGTACTTCTTTGGTGATAACTGACCCAGAAGATAACCTAGAAAGACCAGTATTCTTCTTAATATGCCTCAACATTTTGTTCTTTAGCTAGTTTTCTTCTGCATGTGGGTATGTATGATTCACTGAGGTCATAAGAATTTATTAGACTTCTAAATGGGCTGGCCTTGGTGACTCAATCCTGTAATCCCAGCACTTTAGGAGGCCAAGGTGAGAGGATTGCTTGAGCCCAGGGGTTTGAGACCAGTCCGGGCAACTTGTTGAGACCTCATCTCTACAATAAATCAAAAAGACTATCTGGGCGTGGTGATGCACGCCTGTAGTTCTAATTACTTGGAAGGCTGAGGCGGAAAGATAGTTGAGCCCAGCATGGCAAGGCTGTGGTGGCCATGAGTATGCCACTGCACTCCAGTCTGGCAACAGAGTGAGACTCCAACTCAAAAAAAAAAAAAAGAACTCTAAATGGATCACAGCACCTGGCTTTTGTGTAGTTCCAAATGACTGGCATTGCTGGTAGCAATGGCAGCAAACTCCTGGCAACATGAATGGCTTATTAGACTCTAAGTTTTAGAGCTTTATATGACATAACTGAATACCAATAAAAACACTTGAGTGTTTACTGTGTGCCAGGTACTTTTGAAGTATTTTGCATGTATGAATTAATTTAATCCTCACCACACCCCACATGAGGACACTGAGGAACACAGAAATTAAATCAGTTAAGTCAGTGGCTCCAGAGTCCATGTTCTTAACTACCAAGTTTATGTCACGTATCTCCATTTCTGTATCAATGAATGAATGAAGGGAATACTCAGAATACTCAATGCCCATAAGTCAGCTCATGGGCTTATTTTTAAAGTGGAATGATGAAGTAAAACAGAAATTACAGAAATTCTCAGGAGGTAGTGAGGGGAAAGTGGATAATTACTTCGCTGTGGGATTAAAATACAAAAGTACTCATTATTTATGGAGTTTACAAATTTGTTCAATGTTATCTTAAACCTCACATTGGTATTCTTCTCTCTTCAGTTGATTCTTTCATTGAATAAACTTAAAGATAAATTCACATGAATAATCAGAAATTGTTAATTACTAACTTAGTGTGAATTTGAATAACCTAGAGATAAAAGTCGCTGTGTAATTATATTAAAACTTCCTAAAAGTTAAGTAACACTCCTGATAGTGTGGTGAGTCCCAATGCCAAAGTGATCAGTTTCTCTATAAAGTTGAGAAACAACTAATAACTCTCCTTTGAGCACAAAAATATCTTCTTTTCCATAAATACCAAAGCAGGCTAAAAGTGTTTTTTTGTTTAGATATATAACAGTATATTATTAATCAGAAGTACACATGGAATCAGTAATTTTAATATTAAAGGTACATAACTTTTCAAAAAGTATTTTTGATAAAACATTTAGAAGCATTTTTTTAAAAAGTAAATTTACAGAACACTAAAGATAGCTCCTACAAAAAGAGTCATATGTGTATAAAGCAATGTTACCTCCAGACTCAGCAGAGTCCCTGGATTTGACCTTAACAGTAGTGACATCAGTGTCAGAGCTGTCTTGATCATCTTCTTCAGTTTCTCCTAAAGAGAAATAAATAATATACTAAGATAGTCTTTAATGGGCAAACGATCTGAATTAAATATGCAAACAAGTAATTCAACATTAAAATGAAGGCTTTTAAGTGATCAGTTATAGAAATGCTGTTTACTTGTTATGCTTACTATTTTGAATCTTAAAGTTCTAAATGAGCCAAAATTGAGCTAATTTATTTTGTGTTCTCTGAAGCACACAATTCTTTCCTACACAAATATTCAGAGCCATATCTAAAAACTATATCCTAAGGCTTTAATATAGAGTAAAAAATGAATAGAGAGCATTTAAGAGTAGTAAAATTTTAGCTTATGGGGAGGAAAACCATATACAATTAGTAAGTAGTTAAATTCAGACAAGTTTAGTTTATACATATGTGTATGTTTGTGGTGGAGGGGCAGTAGTGTACACATACCCACATACAAACACTTTATCATACAGGTGACTAATCTCAGATTATGCTGTGCTTAAAGACGAACTAAATTTTCAAATATAAACTGACTATAAGAATTTGGAAAAGTGATTATTGTAATACCATAATCAAAGGCCAGCACACGCCAGAAATGGAAAATACTAGCTTTGCTTAAAATGAACTCAAATAGATGAAAGATGTTTACAATATACATAAAAGCTGTCATTACTTATTCTATCTATCCTATTTGACCTGCCCACTTAATAGTTGAGATAAAAGCATGACTTTTTTCATGAAGGAAAAAGACACTACTTTCTGCTCTCATTTCTTAAGTACTTATCAAAATGGCATCTAAAAGATTTAGAATATATTGCATTATATTTACAAACAAATACCTTCTTCAGAGTAATTGAACTTCTGTTGGACACTGGTAGATTCTAGAAGAGAAAAACACACAACAAAAGTTAAATATGTAACATCAAAAGTTAAAGCTGGCTGGGTGTGGTTGCTCAAATCTATAATCCCAGCACTTTGGGAAGCCGAGGCAAGAGGATTGCCTGAGCCCGTGTGTCCAAGACCAGCCTGGGCAATGTGGTGAGACCTCGTCTCCACAATAAATCAAAAATTAGCTGGGTGTGGTAGTGCATGCCTGTAATTCCAGCTATTTGGAAGGCTGAGGCAGAAGAATCACCAGAGCCCAGAAGGGCAAGGGCTGTGGTGGCCAGGAGCATGCCACTGCACTCCAGCCTGGGCGACAGAGTGAGACTCCAACACATGCACACACAAAAGTTAAAGCTTAGGAGTAAATAAGAACGTCTAATTTCAGAAAATGAACATAAAGACACATTAAATAAGGTCTTCTTCTGCTGAATAATTAAGTCTCTATCATTTCTCTATTATTTCCTTGTAGGCTATTTCAAGAATAAGTCTGGTATAAACTAGCATTAGAAATGAAACGTTTATTTTTCCTTCAGTCACAAGTCTATTTTTACTCTTAAATGTAGTCTGTGTGTGCAGAAAACATTAAATTCCACATTGACAAATATTCCAGTTCCTATAGATTTACTGTACCCTCATTCTCCTGTTTGCCAGATCCCTATACACCCTTGAAATTTACCACACTAACTAAACCAAATCAGCTCTTTAGTGCATTGATGGATCCAAAGATGAAGTAAGGAAGGCAAAGAAACCCTCTTTTTGGGTCTAGCAGGTCCTGAACACCAGTTTCTCAGAGCAACAGAGAATTTGAATAAAGATAACTAAGCAAAACATATTAAACGAACTTTAAATGCAGTATTTTTACATGGCTATTCTGAAACTTAAAAAAAAGAAAAAAGATATACCCAAATGCAGGCATTGCACGACTGGGCTAAAATATCTCTGAAAGATCATATGTAGAGAAGTAGTATGATTTAGACATCTTCAACAAGCTGAGAAAATTTCTTTTCAGCTTTTATCTCTACTGATTTTAACCCCATTTGCTTTTAAAAGAAAAAACAAGATTATAGAAAGCAAGCACCAACACATTATATGATGATTTTTTCCAAATCTATATAATTAGATTAGTATAGTACTCATCAAACTTTGAGTTCCACTGAAAATATTCCCTTTTTTTTTTTTTTTTTTTTGAGTTGGAGGCCAGAATCTCACTCTGTCTCCCCGGCTGGAATGCAGTGGCACACTCACAGTCATTGCAGCCTTGACCTTCTGGGCTCAGGCAATCCTTCTGTCTCAGCCTTACAAGTCGCTGGAACAACAGGTGCATGTCACTATGTCCAGCTAATTTTTTGATTTATTGTAGAGATGAGGTCTCACCAAGTTGCCCAGACTGTTCTCAGACCCCAGGGCTCAGAAAATCCTCTCACCCCAGCCTCCCAAAGTGCTGGGATAATAGGCATGAGTCACCACACTAGTCCAAATACTCCTTTCTTGATAGTGGCAAGTACAAAACAATAACTGAATTTTTGCCAAAAAGAAAAAAAAAAAAGGAACCTGGAGAAAACTGCTGATAAAACCACGTTACTCTTAAAGAGCTAGAACCTGGTGTGTGTATGTATATATATATATATATATATATATTTTTTTTTTTTTTTTTTTTTTTTTGAGTTGGAGTCTCACTCTGTCACCCAGACTGGAGTGCAGTGGCCGCTCCCGGCCACCGCAGCCTCGACCTGCTGGGCTCTGGCGATCCTTCCACCTCAGTCTTCCAAGTAGCTGGAACTACAGGCATGCGCTACCACGCCCAGTTGATTTTTGATTTATTGTAGAGATGAGGTCTCGCCAAGTTGCCCAGGCGGGTCTCGAACCCGCGGGCTCAGGCAATTCACTCACCTCAGCCTCCCAAAGCATGGGATTACAGGTTGAGCCACCGAGCCCGGTGGAACTTGGTATATTATGTGCTATTTTACTCTCCTGAGGAAGACAGTCTTGTCTTTTCATTTTTTCTTTTTGAAGGAGAAAAATGAAAAGTCAAACTTTTCTAGAACTGTTCCTACAAAATGATATTGTTCCTTTTTCCAAGTTTCATTTTCTAAGTGTATAACTATTATAGTACCTCATTTTTATAAGCAGTTTTACTTTCTTAATTTACATAATTATTCATATAGCATGCAAATGAAAGATGCTTTCTTAAAAATCAATAATCATATCTTAATTACCTTAATAATTCTAAGTCCTTAATATTTATGTGGTGCTATTCAGTTTTCAAAACCCTTCATGACTATTACCTGATTCCCGATACATCAAAGCAAATACTTTTTTTTTTTTTTTTTTTTTGAGTTGGAGTCTCACTCTGTCACCCAGACTGGAGTGCAGTGGCCACTCCCGGCCACTGCAGCCTCGACCTGCTGGGCTCCGGCGATCCTTCCACCTCAGCCTTCCAAGTAGCCAGAATTACAGGCATGAGCTACCATGCCTGGCTGATTTTTTGATTTATTGTAGAGATGAGGTCTCGCTGCCCAGGCGGGTCTCGAACCCGCGGCCTCAGGCAATCCACTCACCTCAGCCTCCCAATGGCGTGGGATTACAGGCTGAGCCACCAAGCCCGGCTAGCAAATACTCTTATAAGTAAGGCTCATAGATATTAAGTGATGTGACTAAGGGTGTAGGACTAATGTAACAAAAAGACTTGACCACAGGTTGTTCTGACTTCCAGTTTACCACCCTTCATCAGTCTTGTCATAACAGCCCATAGCAACCCCTCAATAACTTCTTAAATAAATGAATGAATGAATGAAGAAAAGGTTGAGAGTTGAACCTTTCCTAATACAAAAGATTCCAACAACTCCTAAGCGTAAGTCATGTAATACAGTACGGTTTACTAAAGTTACACTTATACTAGGGTATTATGTTTTATGTGGTTACTCTTTAAAAAATATTGGGCATAGCAAAACTAATTAGGGCTGAAAGGATTCAGAATCTATAATAATGGAAAGGGTATGTTGGACTCATATTCATTCACTGAGGTATCAGAATAGTCTAGCACAGTAGTATAAATAGTACAGTAATTCCTCCTTTTTTCATTCTATCTTATTTCTGCATGCATTTGAAACTCTGGGTCAATTTTGTCTAGCGTCAGTTCACTTAATCAATCTTTCATATACCAAGTTGTCTAAAACTCAATTTTCTTTTTTCTAATTTTCCATGTGCATGGAGGGGGGTGATGTAAGAATTCTTTTTTCACCAGCTTACATAAGGGAGCTCCTCATTTATTTATTTATTTTTTGAGTTGGAGTCTCACTTTGTTGCCCAGGTTGGAGTGTAGTGGCATGCTCCCAGTCACCGCAGCCTCGACTTGCTGGGTGCCGATGATCCTCCCACCTCAGCCTTCAAAGTAGCCAGAGCTATAGGCATGCACTACCCACGTCTAGCTAATTTTTTGATTTATTGTAGAGACGAGGTCTCACCACGTTGCCCAGGCTGGTCTCAAACTCGTGGGATCAGGCAATCCTCTCACCTCGGTCTCCCAAAGTGCTGGGATTATACGCTTGAGCCACCGCACCTGGCCTCCTCATTTATTTTTAATACTTCTAATATGTTATTGTATTTGAAGTATCTAATAAATCATGAATTTTATTTATTCTTAAATATGAGATTTTTAACCTGTAGATCAAAGACCCTTTCTTTAGAATTCTATGTTCCTGGCTAGGTATTGTGGCTCATGCCTGTAATCCCAGAACTTTGAGAGGCCAGGGCGGGAGAATCACTGGAGCCCAGAAGCTCATGACCAGCCTGGGCAACATACTGAGACCTTGTCTCTACAAAAAATAAATCAGCCACGTACGGTGGTGCATGCCTGTAGTCCCAACTACTCAGGAGGCTGAGGTGGAAGGATTGCCTGAGTCCAGGAGGTTGAGACTATGGTGAGCGGAGATCATGTAGCACTCCAGTCTGGGGACAGAGTGAGATCCTGTCTTCAAAATAAAAAATAAAAAAAAAGAATTCTATGTTCCTAACAATAAATATTTATCAAGAGTATTCAAAACAGGAATAACTAGTTACTAGTCTCATCACTAAAAACAAACAGCAGCATTGTTTTGTGTTTCATAATCCAAAAACATCTATAAATTAGATATCTTAAATAATAATAAATTCGACAGATTTAACTAATAACTGTCATTGAATCAGGCTATCCACTGTCTTCGCTGTATAGACATCTTTTTATTGTTGCCCAGGCTGAAGTGCACTGGCATGATCATCTTACCACAGCCTCAACCTTCTGGGCTCAGGTGATCCTTCCACCTAAGCCTCCCAAGTAGCTGGGACTACAGGCGTGTGCCACAATGCATGGATAACTTTTTTATTTTTTGTAGAGATGAGGTCTTGCTATGTTGTCCAGGATGATCCCGAACTCCTGGGTTCAAGAAATCCTCCTGCCTTGGCCTCCCAAAGTACTAGGATTACAGGTATAAGCCACCACACCCAGCCAATACAGTAAGTCCCTTACATACAAATCTTCAAGTTGTGAACTTTCAAAGACGCAAATGTGTGTTTTTTAAGAGGTTAGATAGAATTGAATTCAGCAAGAAACCCGAATTTGTGCCATCAATGTCAGGCGTGAATGAAATTGCAGCCTGCCCTCTGTCTCCTCTATTGCTGATAATCCTTCAGCTCTGCCATATCCTACACCTCCACTCCCTCCTCCAGTCAGTAACTCTTCTGCCTGTTCACTTGATGCCAGGCCCTGCATGCCAATTGTTGTATTGTACTATGCTATAGTACTTTTTAAGGTTTGGTACTGTAAGATTTAAAATGTTTTATTTTGGGGGTTTGTTTGATTTTTATATTATTTGTGTAAAAAGTATTATAAGCCTATTACAGTACAGTACTATATAGCCAATTGTGTTATTTGGGTACCTAGACTTTGTTGAACTTACAAATAAATTGGACTTATGAATGCACCCTTAGGATAGAACTCATTCATCCTCATTCAGTAGGGGACTTACTGTACAGACATTAAGAAAAAAAAATATATATATATATATATTTTTGAGTTGGAGTCTCACTCTGTCACCCAGACTGGAGTGCAGTGACCACTCCCGGCCACTGCAGCCTCGACCTGCTGGGTTCTGGCGATCCTTCTGCCTCAGCCGTCCAAGTAGCTGGAAATACAGGCGCGCGCTACCATGCCCGGCTCATTTGTGATTTATTGTAGAGATAAGGTCTCGCCAAGTTGCCCAGGCGGGTCTTGAACCCGCGGGCTCAGGCAATCCACTCACTTCAGCCTCCCAAAGGCACGGGATTACAGGCTGAGCCACCGAGCCCGGCTTGTATAGACATTTTTAAACATGGTTTTTATTCTAGTAACAAAGCTCAAGGAACCCAAACCTACTATGATTCTGTCATTCTAAGGCCAGGCATAGTGGCTCATGCCTGTCATCCCAGCACTTTGGGAGGTGAAGGTGAGAGGACTGCCTGAGCCCAGGGTTAGAAACCAGTTTGGGGATCTTGGCAAGACCTTGTCTCTACAATAAATATGAAAAATAGTCAGGATTGGTGGCATGTGCCCGTAGTTCCAGCTACTTGAAGGCTGAGGTGAAAGGATTGCATGACCCCAGCAGATCAAGGCTGCGATAGCTATGAACATGCCATTGCACGCCAGCCTGGGCTACAGAGACTCCAACTCAAAAATAAATAAATAAATAATCAAACAAACAAATAAATAAATGTCATTCTAACAATTATTTAACATACTATATTTCAGATAAAGTCACAGCTACTGTGAGTACTGTCTCTAATATAAAGGACTTCAATTTCTTATATTATGTGCTCTCTTAAGGTGAAATAATAATGTCTATTACAAGATAAACTGCAGCATTTGCGTTTCCTTCCTTGCTTTGCCTGCTACCATCTTTCAAATTCAGTTCAAATGTCATCTCTGGCATATATAGCCACCTCAATCTCTCATGCGGGGGGGGGGGCATGTCTCCTCTAGGTTCACTATTTTAGCACTTACAGAATTACAGTGATTTTTAAACTTGTTTTTCTTTTCCATTACATCATGTACTCCTAAGAGGTAGAGAAAAAAACTGAATGGCTCCTTATGATCCTAACATTTAGGTCAGTCACTGACATACAGACAGTGGTTAAAAATAAATGTTTGTTCCAAGAAGGGAATAGATTTTATGATCACAGAATAAAACCTCTTAAGACTTTTGCTAATATTCTCATACAAGGATTAAAAAACATTACTTAGCAACTTAAGAAAAAATAGTCTGAAATTAGTGCTCAGTAATCAGATTTTACCCAAGGTTTTAAACATTCCACTTGTTTTTATGCTTTAACCTTAAGCTGCAAAAAATGTACAGATAAATATTTAAACACAATCTGATGATGACTCAGTATCATCTATGACTACATAAGTTTTAATTTCATTTCCCTCTTTTCTTACTCAGCTTCCTTTATTTTGAACTTGGCTGCTACATGTAGAAGGTCAAAGCATTCAAACAAAATATTTTTAGAAAGTTATTACTTCTCCCTATGTTCACGCAGAAGCTTTGAGAGTTAAAATTCTATTTGGATCAAAAAACTCTTAATTTTAAAAGCTATTTTAAGAAATTATAAAGGCTGTAGCTTTAACAAATATACAGACAAGTAGTAATAATTAAATCATGCTGATAAGAAGGTGTTATTTTTTTCAAACTCCTCAACCCATTAGACAAAGTTATTTCAGAAGTCCTAGGTCTTTGTTTTAAGAATAGATCACTCACAATTATCTCCTCTGGTGGAGATCAACCACTAATTGTGCCTCTCTCTGTTCACTTTCTTTTGCTTGGGAACAGTTTTTAAGGAAAACACAAAGTTCCAGGTAAAACACAGCCTGCAAGACTGATAAAAATCCCCAGCTATTTTGAAAGTCTAGGTGCCAAAGCATCAAGATTTCTACTATAGACTCCATTATTCCTAGAGACTTTTGGGATGTGCTTGGCATAGAGAAGCGAAGGCTACTCAAGAATGTATAAACTTGGCTTATTCTGTGTTTTGTCTGGGAACAAAGATATAAAAATATCACAAACGAGACTGCTGTGCTTTCTCAAAGGAAAACTAGGTAGACTACAGGAGTAACTATTTCCTCTCTTCTTGTGCTGCCAGGATAATCTTGTAAGGAGTAAAGTAATAAATGTATTTTCAGGCAAGTATATAACTCTTGAATTGGCTATTAGAACACAAATGACAATTTGGGCGATCTGCTATCTTTACTCCTGACATCATTATAAATTAGAGGTCAGAAACTTTTTCCATAAAAGACCAAATAGTAAATATTTCAGGCCTTGTGAGCCACATAAGGTCGCTGTCACATATTTTGTTTTGTTTTTCAGAAATGTAAAAATCCTTTCTTAGTTCATGGGCTATACAAGAACAGGTCGTGGGCCAGATTTCACCCAGAGGCTGCAGTCTGCTGATTCCTGGTACAGATACCTTGAAGACTGTTCAATGCCAATCATGCTTCTGAGCAGAGTCAGTGGGGCAGCCGGAAGGAGAGAACAAGAAATAGTTGGGAATATCACTGGTATACAAGTTCCATGAATGTCCATTTCACATACTCCAAGGTAACATTACTAACATTACTATAAAAGGCATCAGAGAGTGCCATTCTCTGTATTAAACCCACAGAAAGCTACTTTTAAACAGAAATTTTTTTTTTTTAAACTTAGTTTTCATTAGAATGTACTTATAAAAATGATTTCTAGGCTGAGTGCGATGGCACACGCCTGTAATCCCAGCACTTTGGGAGGCCAAGGTGAGAGGACTGCCTGAGACTATGGGTTTGGGAACAGCCTGGGCAACTTGGTGAGACATCATCTCTACAATAAATTAAAAAAAAAAAATTAGTCGGACATGTTAGCACACGCCTGTAGATCTGGCTACTTGAAAGGTTGAGGTGGAGGGAGTGCCTGAGCCCAGCGGGTCAACCCTGGGGTGGTCGTGAGCATGCTACTGCACTCCAGGTTGGGTGTTGGAGTGAGACTCCACTAAAAAAAAAAAAATTATTTCTAAATTTAGCATATAAATTAAGAATGTTAGATTATTTCACTCCAAGTTAGCTTCCAATTAAGAGTCTATAGCTTAAAAAAACTTTTAAGTTTATAAATAGAGCACTCGAGAAACTCTGGTGTGTAAAAAAGCACACTGCAAGGATCATTTTCAGTACCCAGACACCATTAATTCTGAAGTCTGTAAAGAACTAGCCTGAACTTAAGTGAAAGATGAATTTAATAACGGAAGTTGTATTTCTTTATGAAGAGAAATGAAGCTACTTTCTTTTTGTCGCATCTTCAAATTAAAAAAAAATTAAAACTAAGTCCAGCCGGGCTCGGTGGCTCAGCCTGTAATCCTGTGCCTTTGGAAGGCTGAGGTGAGTGGATTGCCTGAGCCCGCGGGTTCGAGACCCGCCTGGGCAGCGAGACCTCATCTCTACAATAACTCAAAAAATCAGCCGGACGTGGTAGCACATGCTTGTAATTCCGGCTACTTGGAAGGCTGAGGCGGAAGGATTGCTGGAGCCCAGCAGGTCGAGGCTGCGGTGGCCGGGAGCGGCCACTGCACTCCAGCCTGGGTGACAGAGTGAGACTCCAACTCAAAAAAAACAAAAAACAAAAAACTAAGTCCAACTACATTCAATATAGGTTCACTTAAAGCCACAGATTCTGGTATCTCATTTCTTACAATAAGGAAAAAACGGTAAAGAATTAAAAACAGTTTAACAAACATGGAAAAGGACATAAAAGTAATTATGAAAAACACCTCAAATTCTCTTTCTAAATCAAAGGAAAACCCTAATTAGTAAGTTGATATCTCCTTTCTTTCAACAGTGTGAATTAAATAAAGACTAATAAAAACTAATTTTATTTGTTATTATGCATTCTTATATGAAATTAAACAATATTATAAGACATAATTTCAAACAAAATAAAAACCAAGGCTGTTTTAGGTAAGTCATGGTCATAAGGACAGTGCCCCACCAAGTTAAGATAATAAAGTAATATTCTCAAGCCAGCAACCAAACATTTGCACTCTTTTTTTTTTTTTTTGAGTCAGAGTCTCACTTGGTTGCCCAGGCTGGAGTACAGTGGCATGATCACAGCTCACCACAGCCTTGATGTCCTGGGCTCAGATGATCCTTTAGCCTTAGCCTACCAAGCAGCTGGGACTACAAGGCGCACACCACCATGCCTGGCTAATTGTACTCTTGTATTCTACCGATAATCAGAGACCTCAAAGAGAACCTGTAAAAATTAGACACAAACGAACCTAATTCACTCATTTTAGTATTTCCATTTGTTTCGTATGCCAAATCTGCAAGAGATAACAAGAGAACGATTAGAGCTAAAAAGGAAATGCACCAGACAGTTCTTTACCACAGGATCATTACCAAAATCTTAACAGATCTGAACCATTATGATACTTAAAAGGATGGGCATAACAAATCAACATAATGCTTTCTTAAAGGGAATATGAGCAACAACATAAATCTAACATAAAGATAAATGAGGTTCCTTTTCAGTCCCCACGATAGAGAGCCAACAAAAAATGAAAATGAAGAAGTAGACTGCTTGGGGTGACCTTGCTAATTTTCTTCCATAGTTATGAGATTAATTTAAGGACAGTACTTTTTAAGGTTTTATTAGAAAAGAGAGGTAATTGAGAAAGGGACATTTTATAGCTCTGTGCCACAAAGCCTCAGTCTTTAATTTTTTGTCAGCAGTAGACTGAAAAGAATAAAATGTCTTTGATCTTAGTTTAAAATCATCATGCTAACAAAAAATACCATAGCAACAGATAAGAAACAACCTCTTAAAAAAAAAAACAAAAAAACAAACCCGAGGAAGGGCCACTGCCTTGCTAAGCTATGGTGTGGCCATGTGCTCTTTAAGCTATGGCCAGGCCATGTTTTCTTAAGCTTTGACCTCCCCACCTCCCTTGGGTAGGTGAATCCCCTCTTTCTCTCTCTCCCTCTCTTTAATTTACTTTCTAAATAAACTATATTTCCTAATCTTAAAAAAAAAAACAAAACCAACAACAAGGAAGCCCTCTATATAGTGATATGGAAAGATATCTCAATGTACATTAAATAAAAATAAAAAAAAGAAAGTGAAGAAAAGAGTATTTATCAGCCCAAAATTTGTGTTATATATAAAAAAATACAAGAGAATAACATGAATTTCCTTAAATCTCCAAATAATATCTGTGGGAAAATAATTCAGAAACTGACAACATTAATTGCTTCTGATGAGGAAACTGGGTAGCTAAAGGACAGAAGGGCAGGGAGACTTTCTCAATGTTTATCTATAGTAAGTTTTGAGTCTTGAACCATATGAGTACATGTACTCTATTTAAAAATAAAATTATATTTATAAAAAGTTAGTCAAACAGATAATAAAACAATCTCTTACCAGGTCTTGGGCTTCTTAGAGGGGGTCTACATAGGCTGATAAGAAGATCTTCATTCACCACTACTATAGGAAAAGAAAACATTTTTAAAATATAAAAATGAGGCTGGGCGCAGTGGCTCAAGCTTGTAATCCTAGTACTTTGGGAAGCCAAGGTAGGGGACTGCCTGAGTCCATGGGTTCAAGATCAGCCTGGGCAACTTGGCGAGACCTCATCTCTACAATAAATCAAAAAATTAGCCAGGTGTAGTAGCACACAACTGTAGTTCCTGCTACTTGGAAGGTTGAGGTGGCCGGGCTCGGTGGCTCAGCCTGTAATCCCAGCACTTTGGTAGGCGAGGTGAGTGGACTGACTGAGCCCGTGGGTTCGAGACCTACCTGGGCAACTTGGCGAGACCTCATCTCTACAATAAATCAAAAATTAGCCGGGTGTAGTAGCACACGCCTGTAGTTCCAGTTATTTGGAAGGCTGAGGCAGAAAGAACACCGGAGCCCAGCAAGTCGAGGCTGTGGTGGCCAGGAGTGTGCCACTGCACTCCAGTGTGGGCGACAGAGTGAGCCTCCAACTCAAAACAAAAACAATGTGAGTATGCCACTGCACTCCAGCCTGGGTGACGGAGTGACACTCCAACTAAAAAAAAAAAAAAAATTTTATATACATATTTATATGAAATACACTAGCTTTATTAAGCAAGCATCCCCTAATTTATTCAACAAGGGTTTACAGAGTTTTCATTGTGCTAGAGAACTAGAAACAAGTCTAAGTGACAACCTCTTGTGGACTAATGACAACAGTGAACTAAAGACAACTTTCCTGCCATATAAAATTTATAGTCTTGATGGAGCAGTTTGCAATTTTTCTCAGCAGATTTTTCCTTTGTACAAAAGGAAAGAAATACTAAATAAAACTCTCTTAAACTGCTCAATTAAGAACCAAAATCTATACTATAACACTAACTCAATTAGCTTCATTTGTGACTTACCCTGATCCTAATTTTTTTTTTTTTGAGTCGGAGTCTCACTCTATCACCCAGGCTGGAGTGCAGTGGCATGCTCACGGCCACCACAGCCTTGACCTGCTGGCTCAGGTGATCCTTCTGCTTCAGTCTTCCAAGTAGCTAGAACTACAGGCATGTGCCACCATGCCCAGCTAATTCTTTTAGGATTTACTGTAGAGATGAGGTCTTGCCAGGCTGGTCTCGAACTCGTGGGCTCATGCAATCCTCTTGCCTCTGCCTCCCAAAGTGCTGGGATTATAGGTGTGAGCCACCATACCCAGCAACGATTGTAGATTATTTAGGCATATTTTAATTTTAGGGTTAACTTCCCGAGAGAGGAACCATATAACCTTGTTTGTGTTCAGAAAATAAAAACTCTAATTTTAAATGGAAAAAAAAAATAGACAAGGATCTCACAGTTACCCAGGCTTGTCTCAAACTCCTGGCCTCAAGCAATCCTCCCACCTTGGTCCCCCAAAGTACTGGGGTTACAGGTGTCAGCTGCTGTGCTCAGCCTTAAATAAAATGTCACGTTAGCCAAGGTTCACTTCAAACTGTCTATGGTTCAATGGCATAGGTTAGTAGAGAACCAATTCTATTAAAATAAAATGTTAATTTTAGTCTAGAAAACCACTTAAAGGTATGTTTTCTCAAAGTGACTTCATACAACATATTCTAAAACCCAATATATATCTACATTTAAATTGTTTTCTTCATTCATTTCTATTTTTTAAAAAAAGCATTTTGGCTCTGTATGAGTTGCATAAGCCACCTTCTGGAACTTTGATGATCCCCCTAAATCTTCCAGTTCTATCTTAGTTGTATTTCACTTATCAGGTATTTAGAACATATAAATAGCTTTAAAAATAAATCTTGTACATGTAAAAATAAGGACAAATTTTAGTTCCTGTTACTACCAGTATTACAACTACCTTCCTCTTTTTTTCTTCTGTACTTCCACCCTTTCCAGGTTTAATTAAAACCAAAAACTCAATATCTGTTGGCTTGCTTGTTTGCTTTTACTAAGCTTTATTTGTAAAAACTTCATCTCCAGACATCAATAACCTCTTCAGTTCCCATCTTTTCATTTAAGCAGCATTTTCTGCATGCTCTTCTATATACTATTAGTATATGCATATACAAGTACACTTTACTATATATGTTGGTACTTGAAAGACAGAGTGCCAGGGAGGTAATGAGAAAATAAAACAGCAAGTACCCTTCTTTCGGTGGAATCTCTCTCACTTTTACTTACTACTGCATCCTCAGCATTAAGCATGGGGACTGACACAAAGTACATGCACAATAATTCTCTGAAGAATGAATGAATGCTCTAACTACAGCAGCTAAAGAATCAATATTTATGACAAATGGTAGGCACTAATTATCAGGCTGGGTGCAGTGGCTCACGTCTGTAATCCCAGCAATGTGGGAGGCCGAGGGAGGACGAATGCTTGAGCCCAGGAGCTCAACACTAGCCTAGGCAACATAGCGAGACCTCATCTTTGCACAAAAAATGCAAAAATTAGCTGGGTGCGGTGGCAGGCACCTACAGTTCCAGTTACTCAGAAGGCTGTGATGGAAGGACTGCCTGAGCCCAGGAGGTTGAGGCTGTGGTGAGACAGGATCATGCCACTACATTCCAGTCTGGGAGACAAAGTGAGACCTAGTCTTAAGAAAATAACCGTGAGCTGGGTTCGGTGGCTCAGCCTGTAATCCCACGCCTTTGGGAGGCTGAGGTGAGTGGATTGCCTGAGCCCGCGGGTTCGAGACCCGCCTGGGCAGCGAGACCTCATCTCTATGATAAATAAAAAAATCAGCCGGGCGTGGTAGCGCATGCCTGTAATTCCGGCTACTCGGAAGGGTAAGGCGGAAGGATCGCCGGAGCCCAGCAGGCGAGGCTGCGGTGGCCGGGAGCAGCCACTGCACTCCAGTCTGGGCAACTGAGTGAGACTCCAAATCAAAAAAAAGAAAATAACCGTGGCTGGACACGGTGGCTCACACCTGTAATCCTAGCACTTTGGTAGGCTGAGGTTAGAGGACTGCCTGAACCCAGCCTGGGTCACTTGGCGAGACCTCATCTCTACAATAAATAAAAAAATTAGTCAGGCATGGTGGTGTACACCTGTAGTTTCAGCTACTTGGAAGGCTGAGGCAGAAGGATCGCCTGAGCCCAGCAGGTTGAGGCTGCGGTGGCTGTTAGTGTGCCACTGCACTCCAGCCTGGGTGACAGAGTGAGACTCCGACTCAAAAAAAAAAAAAAAAAGGAAATAATAGTAATATCCACCTTGAATGGTTTGAAGAAAAAAATAAGTATAATACTAGTGATTATCAATCAGGCACAGTGGCTTATGCATGTAATCCCAGCACTTTGGGAGGCAAAGGTGAGAGGGTTCGAGATTAGCCTAGGCAACTTAGTGAGACCTCGTCTCTACAATAAATCAAAAAATTAGCTAGATGTAGTGGCGCACGCCTGCTTCCAGCTACTTGGAAGGTTGAGGTAGAAGGATCACCTGAGTCCAGGAGGTTGAGGCTGCAGTGGCTGTGAGCATGACCCTGCATTCAACCTGGGTAACATAGTGAGATTCCTACTTTAAAAAATTTTTTTTAAATAAAAAATAGTAATAATAATAATTATCTATGATTATTTGGTTAGAAGCCACAACTGGCAAAACAAAATGTCTATTCAACTTTAGGAAAGTAAATGAAATCTGTCCTAAGCCGGGGTCGGTGGCTCAGCTCAGCCTGTAATCCCGGGCCTTTGGGAGGCTGAGGTGAGTGAATTACCTGAGCCCGCGGTTTCGAAACCCGCCTGGGCAACTTGGCAAGACCTCATCTCTACAGTAAATCAAAATTAGCCCGGTGTGGTAGTGCGCGCCTGTAATTCCGGCTACTCGGAAGGCTGAGGTGGAAGGATCGCTGGAGCCCAGCAGGTCAAGGCTGTGGTGGCCGGGAGCGGCCACTGCACTCCAGTCTGGGTGACAGAGTGAGACTCCAACTCAAAGAAAAAAACAAAAAAAAAAGAAATCTGTCCTAATGTATTTTTAGATTATAAAATTAGTTTCATGATTTCCAGAAAGGAATAAACCTGGCCATAGAGTAAGAGCAGTTATATAAGCATATATGAATTGACTTGATTAAACAACTGAGTGGTTATTTTAATGTGAGAACAATTCTTTTCTGGAATTTCAAATAATGAGAATATTTCAAGCTATATCCTTGTTCTAAACTAGTATAATGAACATTTTTCCTTTTTTTTTTGAGTTGGAGTCTCACTCTGTCGCCCAGACTGGAGTGCAGTGGACGCTCCCGGCCACCACAACCTCGACTTGCTGGGCTCCGGCGATCCTTCCGCCTCAGTCTTCCGAGTAGCCGGAATTACAGGCACGCGCTACCACACCCGGCTGATTTTTTGATTTATTGTAGAGATGAGGTGTCGCCGCCCAGGCGGGTCTCGAACCCGTAGGCTCAGGCAATCCACTCACCTCAGCCTCCCAAAGGCACGGGGTTGCAGGCTGAGCCACTGAGCCCGGCTAACATTTTTCAAGTCTTCCAAAAACAGGAGGGCAAATGATGTAGCTGCTTTTACCAGGTTGTTTTAGAAGGTGATCCCTTGGTTTAGGTCTTCGCTCTTAAGGATATCTTTGCATAAATTTCTCTCAGACCACACCAGTGGCCCCATATACAATCACAGGACTATTCCAAATACCAAAGTTAAACTGAAAGTCTATGATTCTACGAGGAGAAAGGGCCTATTCTTAAACCTGTACTTAAAGCAGTCCTCTATCAAAGAATGACTCCTATTTAAATAATTCCTCTTAGGCAGACTTTACAAGCATTTATTTAATAATTCCCTAAATTCTTTCTCCTTTCTTTCTTTTTTTTTTTGAGTTGGAGTCTCACTCTGTCGCCCAGACTGGAGTGCAATGGCACACTCATGGCCACCCCAGTGTTGACCTGCCGGGTGCTGGCGATCCTTCCACCTCAGCCTTCCAAGCAGCCAGAACTATAGGCACGCACTACCACGCCTGATTTATTGTAGAGACAACGTCTCACTAAGTTGCTTGGACTGGTCTCAAACCCACGGGCTCAGGCAATCCACTCGTCTCAGCCTCCCAAAGTGCTGGGATTACAGGCTGAGCCACCGAGCCTGGCCACTCTTTCTTCTTTCATTAAGAGGCATAGAATGGGAATATGCTAAGTACTAGACGCAGTATGATTTTAAAAAGCACCTTTTAGAGGAAAACAACCCTGAGTATCTCAAATCTCCCGAAGACAGCCATACTCTTATTTCTAGTAATACTGAATGGACAGTGCGTTATCAATACATTCCAAGTAATCTACGTATGAGTTCCATTCAGTAGATACACGTAAGCAAAATTCTACAAACTTCCTATCTCTTATAAAGTGCCACAAGAAAAAATAACCTTATCTGTATGTTTTATTGGGCACAAAGTGATTTCATGCGTACTACTTCACTTCTCCAGGGGCCCTGTGAGTTATGCAGGGCAAATGACATAAAGGTCTGAGGCTCAAGATGGGTGAGTAACTGCACCAAGGTCCAGTGTGCTTTCTACAACACTATGCAGTCATGTACCTTATTAGCAGTTCTAAAATATGAACCTAATATATACTCCAAAAAATAGAATGTTCAAGACATTCTATTACATAATAGTTGTATAATGCTCTACAGGCTGGTGCTCAACAGTCTTCATTATACCAATTTACTGAACTTCATAATTTCTGTACATTTACTCTAGATTATAATATTGACATTTTTTGCTTTTCCAGGTATGAAACATAAAACTAAATCTACTGTAAATAAATTCTAAATTATCGTTTTTCCAAATGGCCTGGAAAATCTGAATATAGGATTATTACTCAAAACATTTTTCCAAGATAGTCAATAATCTTAACAAAGTAACATAAGCTATTAAAGGAATTGAGCATAAAGAGTTTGTCTGAAACTGAACTTGAGCCAGATATACTTTATTTTAAATTGAGAACAGTTCAAATTATAAAGCATAATCTTATTAGAAGCAATAGAAAAATAAGTCAGGATCTGGGTGAATAAAACCAGGAATGTTCAGTTTCAATAGTAAGAGCACTTATTATTTTGAGATTATTCTAATATTTTAAAAAACTAAGTTGAAAATAAATGGAATTAAAAGCTAAAATTTATACACATTTTAACTATAACATTTGCTCAAAAGATGTCATTAATCAAATAAATGCTAGCATCACTATGCAACAGGCAGGACAGTCAAAGAAAACGGCAGAAGCATAGTTGAGCAAACGTTAGACTGCTGTAATTTAATGTCAGACTACTGTAATTTAAACATCATTGCTACTGTAATTTAACCCAACTTCGAAAAGTAACACATAGATAGTGAATACACTTTTTCCGGCACCCCCCATATATATATTTATTTTAGATTCAGGGTACACGTGTGTATTTTTTACTTGGACATATTGTGTGGTGGTAGGGATTGGGTCTCAGCATGTTACATTGATTCTAAGATTTTTTTCTTTTTAAACTTTAACATCACTGAAATTGGAATGTAACACATAATCTACACATATAACCATAAATTACAAAAAAACTGGCAGCATTGTTCCTTTCTAAGTAGTCATGAACAATGATGGTAAACCTTACAACTGATGGCATCTTGGATTTTATAAAACAGTATGAAACTGACAAGACTCATCATTTTGTGTCAAGATTTTAATATGCAGAAAATTTAATCCATTTCAAATAGAGGCACTATGACATATCTATTCATTTGACACTTAAACTTTACCGTGTAGCTAGTTACTACAGGGGAAAGCAATAGTGAAGTACTTGGGGGGAATTAAGGGACTTTGAAGAAGACAAACCTGGGTTTGAATTTTGGCTCAGTCATGTATGTGATCTTAGAGAAGATGCTTAGCTTCTCTGAGCTCCAGTTTTCTCATCTATGAAATGGATATAATATCTATCTTGCAAAGTTATATAGATTTATATATACAAAATGGCTAGTACTTTGAGTAGATATTCGTGTTCACCAATCTTTTCTTGATACATATCTGGATTACTTAATTTAATAAACAAAAAAGAAGTTGGCAGGTAAGGAGAAAAACAAAAAATTAACTATTTTTACCTGGAGCCTCTTGTGTTCTCTTGACAGTTTTCTCTGAGACGGTTTGGCTGAAAACAGTTTGGGAAGATGGTTCATCCTCTAAAGAACATACAAGAGTTACAATTCAGAATAGGACCAGGGAGATCATGGTACAGAGTATACATATTTACAGCAATAAATAAGCAAAAATGCAAGTAATTCACTTCTTTAAAAACATGTAGTGGCCGGGCATGGTGGCTCAAGCCTATGATCCCAGGACTTTGGGAGGCCAAGGTGAGAGGATTGCCTGAGCCTGTGGGTTTAAGACCAGCCTGGGCAACAGGGTGAGAACTCATCTCTACAGTAAGCTGGGCATGGTAGCGTGCCTGTAGTTCCAGCTACTTGGAAGGCCGAGGCAGAAGGATTGCCTGAGCTCAGCAGGTCGAGGTTGCGGTAGCTGGGAGTGTGCCACTGCACTCCAGCCTGGGCGACAGAGTGAGACTCCAACACAAAATAAAACAGAACAAAACAAAAACATGTAGTTAGGTTGCCAAAACCTAGGAATTAAACTAGTCAGAACACCTCTCAAGACTGCATATAACTAACTCAACAGAATATAAAAGTAAACTACTCACCATAACTGCTTTACAACAAAAATGTATCACTTTAGAAAATTAAAAAGATGGAATGTCACAAATGATGTAGAAGAAAGCATAAGAGTGAGAAAGCATATTTAGATCTTTAAGGATTTTCTAAAATAGAGGTAAATTCCTTATTTGTTTAAAATAAGGTTAGTCTATAAACTGCACTAGGATCTGTGGGAGACTCAATACAATGTTACACATATTTATTGCCTACCACATGCAAAGCAGTCTCTCAGGAACTGAAAGAGAGGCAGAATTAACACAAGTACATAAGTTACTATCAAATATATATAAGATCCTTGTCTTCAAAATCTTTATCATCTTAAAAGAGACAAAACTAACACACATATGGGCAAAACTGTCTTGAGTTGCTACACTCAAATGTAAGTTACATAACTTCAACATAAAGTTTCCAATCAATAAATCTTCAAACATGTCAGAACTTCAAGAGTCAGCAAGTAAACTTTCAGCCTATTACTGTGCTCTAAGCTGAAAATCAACTCATCTTTAAATCCATCAATGATCTACAAACTATTTCATCCCACTGTGACTCAAACACCCTAATTGTTACCTCATAAGCACCTTACATGGGACTAACATGAAACTTCATCTGTGATTCAGTGTTAGGTATCAGAGAGCAGGGCAGGATGGGAAAGGATACGCTAAGGAAATTGATTCACCTGTGACTTACCTAAAACTATATGCCCACTTTGTCAGTATTCTTTTGGTCCAAGTAGACAACTTTCCAAGTAATTAAGAGTCTTGTTTTGTCAGGTTACTTTATCAGCCTGATTTGTCAGGCTACTTGAGGTTACAGTAAGGGCCACCAAAATGGCCAAGTTTTGAGAAAGAGCGTTTAGCTCAAGTTTATCACACATTGGGGGCTTCAGTTTGGGAGCTAATTTACCCGGTTTAGGTGTACGTATTTGGGTGGGGTCTCAAATCAATAACTAACTCCGCTATTCCTCGAAACGCCCAATCACAAAATTTGCCCTCCCTGTCTGCCCATCTGGGTGAGGATGGAAAAAGACCGGAAGGTTAGATTAGAACTACGATCCTTCTCTGAGCTTTAAAGAGGAAATGGAAGTGGCTTCGGTAGAAACATCCGCAGGACAGAGAGAAACCGAGCCTAGAGTAAGACGCCGAGCCCTGGTGAAGGCCTGCAGAAAGAGGCAACCCTGACTCCCCGAAAATGATGCCCAAGGTTGGGTAGAGCTCCCAGGCTCTGCCCAGGTCGCTCCGCACACGACCATTTTTCCATTCCTTGGGTCGGCGCCTCCTTCCCGCCTGCGGGCCGGGGTGGACCCCGCGCGGGGACGCACGTCTAGGGGGGCCGAGGAGTACCCAGCACGGCGATGGGCTCCCGCCGAGACGCACGCCAGCCGTTCGCCCACTGCGCGCGATCCCCTGCTAGCGGCTGAAACTGTTCCCTCCATCATCCTCACCTTCAGAGGAGTGAGAGTCTCGCAACCCTCTCCTGGTTGTAACCGGGGACGGCTGCAGCGGAGGCTGCTGAGACTGCTGCTGTTGTAAGCGCGTGGTTCTTCGTGTCTGCATCTCCTCGGCTTCCTGGGGTCGCGGCTGCCTCCGCTGCCTAGACCGAAGGTAGTAGGCGCTTACCCGCACTTCCTCTCTCGCAGAATCGGGCCGGAACTCTTCTGCCGGGGTTCGTTTTCCCACCGGGGACCTTTCTATGGTCACGCGGGGCTCGAAGTCGCCGTACACTTCTGGCGGCTCCTCTGAGAACCTCACTTCCCGTCGGCCCTGGCGCGACGGAGGACTTACGTACGCAGGCGCGTCGCCGCCGCCGCCATCTTGAGGGGCAAGCCGGCGCCTTCCCTCTCGAAGGGGGGCTCTGGGTGTGACGTACACACCCCAGCCTTCCCGCTCCGGCTCCGCCCGCTGCCCCTCACCCGCCATAGTTGTTGACGTAGCTTGAGTCGATCGCGAAGATGGGTTTGTGAACCCTAGATTCGGCTACGGGTGGTGGCGATGGCTTCTCGGGGGTGTTGGGCGGTGGTCGCTGTGGTCAGGGAGGCAGTTGAGAGTCGCCGGGGCCGCCGCCTGCGTCGTCGCTGCTCTGCAGCCAACCCGCCTCTGGGCCCATGGTGTGTCTTGAGGGCTTTGGAGAGGCAGTGCCTGTGTTGGGTCAGCTGCTGTGGGTCACTCCCGCCTCCTGGCTGGAGACACCAAAGAGGAGGAGAAGGGGGAGGAGGAGGACGCCTCTGCCCTCGGCCTTGAGGAAGGGAGGGCGGGGGGCGACGGAAGGGTGGCGGGTCAGATCGCCTGTCCCAAGTCCCGGCGCTCGCTGCGGGTGCTGCCGGCTCGCTGGCTGCGCCCGAGTTGGCCCCCAGTAGTGAGTCTCCGGGAAAGAACGAGAGACACGAGGGTGGAGACCGAGTTTCAGTCCTCGGCCCCAGGCTGTTGCGCAGTTTCCCTGGAACCTTTGATCGACTGCTGCGTGGGCCCTGCCTTTCCGAACAGGGGTGGTGGTCAGGGGGAGAACTTTTGCACGTGTCATCTTTTCGTGACACAATTTTCGTTTCAAGCTCCTCCTGAAGACCGTTGCCCAGTTTTACGTTTTTAATCACCTGTTGAGGGTGTACAAAATCCTATCTACAGTTATACACTCATTGGATATAGTTCCATTTGTGAATATACCCACAGCAAACATAACCTTATTCTTGGTCTCATATTTCCTGGTTCTGTTCCAGCAGCAGGGTTTGGAAGACCCTGTTAGTGCTGCGTTATGCGCAGTGAGAATTGAACAAATTCTTGAAAGACGGCACCATAATTTTAACTTGTGTCCTTATTTTTACTTAGATTCTGGGTAGGACTTGATATACCGCATTTGACTTAGGTTTCCTGCATTTAGTTTACAGAATAGGAAAGCGTGATAAAAGCTCTTTGTTTTCACCTCTGAATACCATGTTTACAGATGTGGGTAATCTGCAAATACCTAACCAAATTTAGACAAACTCAGGGAAAGTCGATTAAATTACTGTGAAGTCTTTAATTATTTAAAGAAAGCTTAATGTTACTTTCAGATAACTAACTTGTTTTCTTGGAGGACTTTCTATGATGATCTCTGAATAGATTTTAAACATTGTAAATTGGATACAGTTACAATAAGTGAGTCTGAAAAATTTGAAGGTGTTTGTTTATTTAATCGCTTTAGAATGTTTTTGAGCAACTCATTTATTGCTCATACGCGGCACAAATTTCAATTATTAAATAAGGTCTTAATGTGTACTGTGTTTCCACTAATAATCCATAAATTTGATCAGAGACACAAGGAATATGCTTTAGAGTCAGGTACGTCTTGGCCTGTTTGGAGCTTAGAATAGTGTAACTTTATTTACTAGATACAATATAGCAAAAAAGCACAAAAGTAGGCCCTAACTTTGCCTGTGCGATGACTACTTGTGTGCCTGGTCCTGAGTTGTACCCCACATCTTTGAAGAATAATTTAAAAAAAATTTTTTTTAAATAAAACAATCTGGAGAAGCAGTAACAAGAAAAACTGCTCCTTTTTTTTAGTCTTTCAATGGAAAATGTAAAACATACCTTCTGTCAGCCTGGGTTAAATGGTATGTTTAGTTAATTTGGGAGACTTACTCTTTTCTGACAAAATGCTGAAAAGTGTTGATACTTGGTAATACCTGGCTCTTGTTTATTTGTTTTAAGTAATGGTTTATCCTAAAGTGACCATTATGTTACTCATTAGTAACACATAATAGTAAAAGTTCCTTAATAGATGTAGTTATTAAATATAAATTTAACAGTAATATACTAAGTTCATATTATGAGCACTAATATATATATGTGAAAAACCTCTTTAAAAATTTTACCAGGACAGGTAACAATATAGAAACTTGGATGCTAGCTTGTAAAACTTGAGTACAGGCTTATAAAACTTAGGTTTGAAAGACAAATTAAAAAAGAAAGACTAGAGGTTGTATATATTATTAAACAATCAGAAGATGAGAGGTTCTCCATGGTATTGAGTACTTATGTTATTTTGTAGTTATAACTGCTTGTAAAGACAGGAATGGCTTTTCAAAGAAATGAATAGTGAGACACTTAAGGTAAAAGGAAATTTTGGTGTGCTAACATAATTTTTGGGAGTGCCAAAAACATGTACATACATTTTAAGAGTTGCATCTATATATTACTTTTAGTTTGCCATAATCAGAAGTATCTGGACGCTGATGGTAACCATTTTGAGCACCGCTTATAATTGCAGAAGTCAAACATGACCTGTATTCATCTTTTGTTATCGGTATAGAGTATTACAATTTTAATATAGTTTTTTCCTTTCTTAAAATGTGTGGTTTTTTTGTTTTTGGGGGGAGCACCCTCTGTATATGCTTAGGGTCTTCCCCTCTTTTGTGTAGTTAATAAGCATACCTAATCCTAGTTCTACCACGATTGCCACCTACACCCAGCAATCTTAAAAATACCAAACTTTCATCACTAATTGTGAGGCAAAGTGAACTCTCGTCAAACCAGATATTCTGCAGTAGTTGTTTTCCATATTACATATTACATTTTGGAGACCCAAAAGAGGTAACATTACAGTGACGGTAGACTCATTGCCAGTATTATAAGGGATTTGGTAGACCACCAATACCAAGAGGAAGCCTGAGCTGTGAATGTAAAACAGTTACTTTGGAAATTTGAGAAATATGGAGAAATTCAGTGAATCAAAAGAGAAAACAGGCAAGAGAAGAAATAATTATAACAAAGATACATTCAACAATTCATATGTTTATTAAATATATATTGTGTGCCAGTAAAAATGACAACTTTACCTTGAGTGAATTTGCCATTTATTGGGAAAGACAGATACATGAAAAATTAAAATTCAGAGCTGAGCATGGTGGCTCACTCCTGTAATCACAGCACTTTGGGAAGCGGAGGCAAGAGGATTGCCTGAGTCCAAAGGTTCAAGACCAGCCTGGACAACTTGGCAAGACCTCGTATCTATGATAAATTAAAAAATTAGCTGGGTGTGGTGGCACGTGCCTTTGGTTACAGTTACTTAGAATGCTGGGAAGGAAGGATCACCTGAGCCCAGTGAGATGAGGCAGCAGTGGCCATGAGCATGCCACTGTACTCCAACCTGGATGACGAGTGAGACTCCGACTCAAAAAAAATTACAATTCAGATTAAATGACTGACAGTAATTCACATACTTAGCTATTCAGGCTAGGTCTAGGAATCCTGTGTTCTTGAGACTAGGTTTCTGAACCAGTCATTTTAAATAATGCTTATTTTATTTTAAAATAATTTTTATACAGGAGTTTTTTGGTTAGGGAAGTAGAAATCCAGTTATTTAAAGAGAAAGCATCTGTCAATTGTGCATAATATTCATATCTCTGGTTGGGTAGGGAAATAAACAACTGGTGTTATGGTCTGGTAGTAGAAAGGGGGAACATTGTTAATAAGGAAAGATGATTAAAATATTAAGAGTGAAAGACATAATAGCTGGCTCCACTTAATCCCATTCCTACAATGGATTAAGTCGTGGTGGTAGCCTTGAGTATGCCACTGCAGTCCAGCCTGGACCATAGAGTGAGACTACAACTCAAAAAAAAAAAAAAAAAAAAAAAAAAAAAAAAAAAATATATATATATATATATATATATATATATATATATATAAAATAAAGAGCTGGGCTCAGGGGCTCACCCTGTAATTCCCCGCTTTGGGAGGCCTAGGTGAGTTGATTGCCTGAGCCCGCGGGTTTGAGACCCGCCTGGGCAACTTGGCGAGACCTCATCTCTACAATAAATCAAAAAATTAGCCAGGTGTGGTAGCGCGGACTTGTAGTTCCAGTTGGAAGGCTGAGGCGGAAGGATTGCTGGAGCCCAGCAGGTCGAGGCTGCGGTGGCCGGGAGTGGCCACTACACTCCAGTCTGGGCGACAGAGTGAGACTCCAACTTAAAAAAATAAAAAAATAAAAAATAATACTTTAAAGACAATACAAATGGAGATGTTTAACTGGGCATGTTGTACTGATACTAAGAAAGCAAACTCAAGCTGGGCACGCCTGTAATCGCAGCACTTTGGGAAGTGAAGACGAGAGGATTGCCTGAACCCAGGAGTTCCAGACTAGCCCGGGCAACTTGGTGAGACCTCATCTCTACAATCAAAAGACAAAAAAATTAGCTGGGTGTGGTGGCACACGCCTGTAGAAGGCTGAGGTGGGAAGGACCACCCGAGCCCAGCAGATCGTGACTGCGATGGCTGTGAGTGTGCCATTGCACTCCAGCCTGGGCAACAGCGTGAGACTCCGACTCAAAAAAAACAAAAGAAAACAAACTCATTGAAGAGAATGGAATATAATCTCCCATTTATCATTTGTCGAGTTAGAAATTGCAGTCAATTATTAAACAGCATCTAAGAGTGTTCCCAAGTTCTGTGACTTCTGCTGAAGAAGGATGATTGAGAAGTGAAGGCACACACACAAAAATCATATTACATGAAGAATTATTAATTCAGTAAATACTTGAGCTATAACTATGTACTAGGCAGTCTCTGTTCTCAGTGTTGCAGATACAGCAATGAACAAAACATGTAAAAAAAAAAAAATCCAAAAACCCTTCATGCCATGCAGATTGTATCCTGTAGGAAGAGTCATACAAAAATCAAAATAAAATAGTGTGTTGGTCAGCAATGTTATGGAAAAAAAATCAGGTAAGGGGAAAGTAGATTTACGTGAGTAGATTTCTTCTATGTCGTCTTGAATTGGTATAGATCAATAACAAGAATTATAGGCCTACTTGACTTAGCCCTTATCCCATTATATGTTATCTGTCAAATTACTTGCCATCCCTCAATTTGCACATTTGTAAAATTAATAGAGCAAACCAATGGCTTTTTTTTTCTTTTTTCTTTTTGAGTCTGTTGCCCAGGCTGGAGTGCAGTGGCATGCTCATGGCCACCCCAGCAGCGACCTGCTGGGATCCAGCGATCCTTCTGCCTCAGCTTTCTAAGTAGCTGAAACTACAGGCGCGCGCTACCACGCCTGGCTAATTTTCGGATTTATTGTAGAGAAGAGATCTCGCCAAGTTGCCCAGTCTGGGTCTTGAACCGTGGGCTCAGGCAATCCGCTCACCTCGGCCTCAGCCTATTTTTTTTCTTTCTTTCTTTTTAAATTTAAAGCCGGGGTCGGCCAGGCACGGTGGCTCATGCCTGTAATCCCAGCACTTTGGGAGGCAGAGGCAAAAGGATTGCCTCAGCCCAGGGGTTTGAGACCAGCCTGGGCAACATGGCGAGACCTGTCTCTATAATAAGTCAAAAACTTAGCTGGGCATGGCGCCTCCGGTTCCAGCTACTTGGAAGGCTGAGTCGGAAGGATCACCTGAGCCCAGAGGGTCGAGGTTGCAGTGGCTATGAGTGTGCCACTGCACTCCAGCCTGGGTGACAGAGCGAGACTCTGTCAAAAAAATAAAATAAAATAAAAAATAAATGACGAGGTCTTGCTATGTTGCCCAGGCTGGTTTTGAGCTACTAGGCTCAAGCGATCCTCCCACCTTGGCCTCATAAAGGACTGGGATTATAGGCGTGAGCTACCTCGCTGGGCCTTATTCGTTTTTGTTTTTGGAGACAAGGTCTCACTGTCACCCAGGCTGGAGTGTAGTGGTGTGATAATAGCTCACTGTAGCCTAGAATTCTTGGGCTCAAGCGATCCTCCTGCCTCAGCCTCTAAAAGTGCTGCGGTTATAGGCATGAGCCACAGCGTAAGGCAAAATAATAGCTATTTTTTCTTCATCATGTACTACTATCGCTTAGCAGAGAGCCATGTTCGTCATCTCATTTACTCACAGCAACCTTATGAGTTTAGTAACCTTGCCTCCTTTGACACATGAGCAAACTAAACTGATATTTAGACTAAGAAACTCGCTGGAGAACACGCTACTAGTAATAGAGGCTGGGTTCCAAGTCATGGTGCTTAACCAGGATCGTTGGGTACTGCCTCTCACTGTATGAATTTCGGGTCATTATAAGGGTCAAGGTGGTCAGACGTCTCGCAGAGATGCCTTGCAGTTCTGTCAGATGTCAGCTTGAGAACTCAGAGGACTCTGCAGTTTGGTCATGGGAACTTAACTCGCCCTTCGCCGGTTGGCAGACTCGCGGCCTGGCTGGGGAGGGCGGT